GGTGTAAAAGCGTAATTAACTTTGACTATTCAGAAATTATTTTGTCCTCCTTCCATAGTTATTATTTCTATTTAGTCGAATCAATATTTATATTAAAATGTGTTCACCTTTATGAGCTAGATTTGTGAAATATTATGCTATGCAAAATTTGCATTAAAGACAAAAACTACGGGCCAGCAACGCGGACCGGGCCAGCTAGTATATATATAAAAATCAATTGTTGTTTGTTGGTAACGGAATCAGTTGAAAACGGCTGGACCGATTTGCATAATTTTTTGTACAAACGTTCGTCATACCCCGAGTTAGGTTTATAAAGAAGAAAATATTGACCACGCCTCCTTTTACGCCCACTATTACGATTTATCTAAAATTTTTATATTTGCCAAAATAGTGAAGATATCGGTTTGAGAATTATTACACGAGATGCTGTTTGCTTTCCATCCAACCCTAAGTACTTATTTAGGGGCTGAGGAACGCGCCTATTTTTAAATCTATCTCTCTATATGTAAAAGAAAGTTGTGTTAGTTACTACTCTCATAACATAAAGACCGCCGGTCGGATTTTAACAATTTAGACAAATTCGGAATTGCCTTTTGGCAGAAAAGAATAAAATCCAAAAAATCGCGTAAAAATGTGAAATTTGAACAGTTTCATTTTGACTTTTAAAATGTACAATAGTAATGTTTTATATTGCATATTTTTTTCCATTTTGACTTACTATTTTCGAATGTACATTTGTAATGTTTCTTTTTTTTGGAATTCTAATATGATGTGTAGGTTTTTTTGTGTAGTATAAAGCCACAACGGATAAAACTGTTATTTATAGATTTTATGTATTTATTCATATTACCCAGTAAATATATAAAATCTATAAATAACAGTTTTATCCGATGTCGCTTTATATGAAAATTCTAAAATCGGAATCGAATTTCAAAATATTAGTACATTCTACCGACAAACTTCGTAAGGACCTTTAAAAATTTTCCGCAAAAAAATCAGCGGACCAGTTGAAGATTCTTTTTCTTTTTTCTACATTGAAGTGTACATTTTTTATTGTTTTGAATTCCGAATGAATAATATTAAAAATGAAATGAGGGCGCAATACGATGTTAAATGCTTTCTACTCCAGGACCTACATCGTGCTTCAGCTGGAAGATGCGAACACATTTAAACAAACAAAATGACCGAAAAAGCGTTATGGGGTTCATTTCAAAAACTGGACCTGCTTCTTTCATATGACAATAAATTGTCAAATGAAAACACAGAATGCAAAATACATTGGGACTGCAATCAGTCAAATACCGACTATAAAAGACGCAAAATAGAAATTCTTCCTAAACATTCAAGATACCTTTAATCGCTTTGGCAGCTCATGATATGGGTCGTAACCCCGATAACGGAACAACTCGATTTCAAGTATATTCTACATTTTAACCATATTTTTCGTACTAATTTTAGCTTATGTTGATAATTTAAGAAGAAACCATCTTTGCAAAAAATGATGACGTTTTGGTATCACTATCATATGATTTAAGGTATTTTCGGGGTCTTGGCAACTTTTTTCATTTTTTTGGCCCTTATTTGACATCTTTGTTTCTAAGGGGGAAGAAAACCTCTTCTTATAAAATTTTTATTTTTCGGAAAAGTGCGCATCTTAGTCTTGAGGCTACGTGGGGTAAAAAACCCCAAAATCAATTGTGGTTCGTTGGTAATGGAATCAGTTGAAAACGGCTGGACCGATTTGCAAAATTTTTTGTACAGACGTTCGTCATACCCCGAGTTAGCTTTTAGAGAAAAAAATATTGACCACGCCTCATTTTACGCCCACTATTTCGATTTATCTAAAATCCTTATATTTCCCAAAATAAGGAAGATATTGGTTTAAAAATTATTACACGAGATACTGTTGACTTTCCCTCCAATCTTAAGTATTTGTTTGGGGGCTGAGGAACTGACCATGCCTACTTTTTAATCTATCTATACATCTATATATATAAAAGAAAGTTGCGTTAGTTACTACGCTTATAACTCAAGAACCGCCGAACCGACTTTAACGATTAAGACAAATTCGTGTTTTTTTTAATAATAATAATAATAATAATAATAATAATAATAATAATAATAATAATAATAATAATAATAATAATATATAATAATAATAATAATAATAATAATAATAATAATAATAATAATAATAATAATAATAATAATAATATAATAATAATAATAATAATAATAATAATAATAATAATAATAATAATAATAATAATAATAATATAATAATAATAATAATAATAATATAATAATAATAATAATAATAATAATAATAATAATAATAATAATAATAATAATAATAATAATAATAATAATAATAATAATAATAATAATAATAATAATAATAATAATAATAATAATAATAATAATATAATAATAATAATAATAATAATAATAATAATAATAATAATAATAATAATAATAATAATAATAATAATAATAATAATAATAATAATAATAATAATAATAATAATAATAATAATCAGTTGAAAACGGCTGGACCGATTTGCAAAATTTTTTGTACAGACGTTCGTCATACCCCGAGTTAGCTTTTTAGAGAAAAAAATATTGACCACGCCTCATTTTACGCCCACTATTTCGATTTATCTAAAATCCTTATATTTCCCAAAATAAGGAAGATATTGGTTTAAAAATTATTACACGAGATACTGTTGACTTTCCCTCCAATCTTAAGTATTTGTTTGGGGCTGAGGAACTGACCATGCCTACTTTTTAATCTATCTATACATCCTATATATATAAAAGAAAGTGCGTTAGTTACTACGCTTATAACTCAAGAACCGCCGAACCGACTTTAACGATTAAGACAAATTCGTGTTTTTTTTAATAATAATAATAATAATAATAATAATAATAATAATAATAATAATAATATAATAATAATAATAATAATAATAATAATAATATAATAATAATAATAATAATAATAATAATAATAATAATAATAATAATAATAATAATAATAATAATATAATAATAATAATAATAATAATAATAATAATAATAATAATAATAATAATAATAATAATAATAATAATATAATAATAATAATATAATAATAATAATAATAATAATAATAATAATAATAATAATAATAATAATAATAATAATAATAATAATAATAATAATAATAATAATAATAATAATAATAATAATAATAATAATAATAATAATAATAATAATAATAATAATAATAATAATAATAATAATAATAATAATAATAATAATACTAATAATAATAATAATAATAATAATAATAATAATAATAATAATAATAATAATAATAATAATAATAATAATAATAATAATAATAATAATAAAATAATAATAATAATAATAATAATAATAATAATAATAATAATAATAATAATAATAATAATAATAATAATAATAATAATAATAATAATAATAATAATAATAATAATAATAATAATAATAATAATAATAATAATAATAATATAATAATAATAATAATAATAATAATAATAATAATAATAATAATAATAATAATAATAATAATAATAATAATAATAATAATAATAATAATAATAATAATAATAATAATAATAATAATAATAATAATAATAATAATAATAATAATAATAATAATAATAATTCCCATGAAAATTTGCCAATAAAAATGTGAATGTCGATAGCTCATTTCTAAAAGTGGAATTTAGCTTTCAATTGCAGGACCTACATCGTGCTTCAGCTGGAAGATGCGAACATATTTTAACAAACAAAATTGGCCGACAAAGCGTTATGGGACTCATTTCTAAACATGGACCTACTTCTTTCACATGACAATAATCCGTCCAATTAGAAATCACAATGCAAAATTCAACAATCAGTGAAATACGGAATATAAAAGATGCAAAATAGCAGAGTGGATTGGACATTTAGTCTTTCAAGATAGCTTAAATCGCTTTTGCAGTTCATCATATGGGTCATAACCCCCGGATAAGGGTACAACGGAATTTCAAGTATATATTTTTTATACTAATTTCGGCAAATTTTGGTAATTTGAGAAGAAACCATCCTTGCAAAATATTATTAGGTAAGTCATGAAGGTAAAGTCATGCAAACATATGTGAAGTGAAATTTGACAAGGTAAATTACAGAAAATGCAGAGATGGGTATGCTCATTTTAAATGACTTTACCTTCTTCATTTTACCATTATGGTCTTGATCATATTCATCAATTGATTTGGCTAAAAATTATATTTAGGCTACTCTGGGGTAGAGAACCATCTTACAGATAATTGCCCACCTAGGTATTATCAACCCAATGTGTGGTCAGTATAGAAAATCTTGTATTCTATTAAATTTGTAACACCAAAAAAAATATTGGATGGAAATGTAGATTTGGACTTTATGGGGTCTCCAACACACAATTTAAAAATATTTCCCATCTTACGGGTGTAAAAGAGTAATTATCTTTGACTATTCTAAAATCATTCTGCCCTCAATTACGAGGTAGACAGCGCGAAATACAAAGTCCAAATTACAGCACATTTGAATGGAAAATGTTTATAAGCTCTTTATAATACAAAAAAATTGAGCTGGGATTTCACGTGGGGATATTATAGATGTTCTATATTATATAGGTTTTTAACAGTCAAATCAAAGCTTATAGCTGAAAAATAAGATCAGGCAATTCAAAATATCTGACACCAACGGTAGGCGAACATCTATTATAATTTTTGCCATGAATATTTATTTCTAGTTAGAAATTACTATGGATTCATTAATCATTATATAAAAAAATATGCATTAAAAACTAAAAGTACGGGCCAGCAACGCGGACCGGGCCAGCTAGTTTCATATAAAATATTATATTCACTTTTAAATATTTAAAACTATAATTGTAACACTAGTTCCCATTTAGATTTCTCATCCAGATTTTTAAGCAAAAGCAAACGAAAAATTTTCAAGAACCGTCATTTTTTTATTTATAATAATTTATAATTATAAATTATTTATAATAATTTATTATTATTTTATTCGTATTAAATATCTCACTCCCTGGGACTTCATTTTAAACGCACTGTCATTTCAGCAAATTTCAAAGACGTTTGATTACCTCTGAAAGCATGCCATTGTACAATTTGACCAAGTTCGATGTCGGGAACTCTGCCCTTTTTGAAGGGCCCATTTAAATTGCTGGAAAATTGAAAGAGAACAGATAAATCAAAATTAGAACTGATAACAAGAAAACAATATCTAGACATAAGAGATATAGGGCGAGACAGACCAAGAAAGCTCCTGCTTCCACAGTAGGCAAAGAAAATGTCTTTTTTTTGTTGAAAGCTCATACGATGTACATATGGAAAAAAGGCCTAAACAAAATCTTTTGATTAAAGAAGACGTATGGAAGGTCTTAAACGTATGTATAATCTCTTATAAAAGGTCTACCATTTAGAAGGTCTATAGGAACTTATATAAAAAGCCTTTATGAAGGGGTTTTTATGTTAACAAGGCCATGGTAGGTCTTTTTTATATGGAGGATCAATTGAAGGCCTTCTTTGTATCAAAAGGTCTTCTACTCTATATAGAGGTCTAGTTAAAGGTCTTGTACGAGGCGTACAAAAGGTATATGTTCTATAAAGAAGACCTATAGAAGGGCTTATATGTATATCGAAGGCGTAGGGATGATCTTCTACAGGGTGAGATCAAAAAACTGCAACAAAGTTAAACGCCATAATATTTAATTATACCCTACAACACTATGTGTTGGGGGTATTATAAGTTTGATTGGGCCAAAAATTATGTAACACCACGAAATATTGATTTCCCATATAGGAAAGTATATATGGATCTTCCTATCTCGCGGAGCTGAGTCGATCTAGCTATATATGTCCGTCCGTCCGTCTGTCCATGTTAATTTGTAATCACTCTACAGGTCGCAATTATGGTCCGATCCTCACGAAATTGAAAATGGAGGTGGGGTTAGTGTCAGAATAGAACCCTATTTCTTTTGGCTCTTTTGAGTCTATTTTCTTTTTGTTGCGGTGAAAGTTCTTGCACTTTTTGGAATTTCAATGGCAAATGGCCCCGAGCCACGCGGCGACCCGGGTTTCGATCAAGTCGCTTCTTTACTTTTCATCCACTTCCTTGACGTCGGGCTACTCTACTAGTATCACGGTAACGAGATTATTTTCATGTAAATCGATCGATTATCGATTTATTAACATGTAAATGCTGTAGTGCTCTAACTATAGCCGCTTGTGGTTTCCCAGCCAAATATAAAGAAATCACACTATCACGCTCGAATTCACCAAAATGATTTTGTAGGCTTGTAAACAATATAATGAGCTGTCTGAGCCGCAGTCTGAAGTTGGTTGCAGTTTTTTCATCTCACCCGGTATGTATGGGCCGTCCATATTATAGTTCAAATTCTTCCAAATATATAGTATACCCATAAAAGTTTTTCTTTACATCGAAAGTCCACAAAATGTTACCTATATAGAAGGCCTATTAAAGGATTTACATGTGTATTAGGTCTTCTGTATGGAAGTCATGTAGAACGTCCATATATGAAAGTCATTTGGGAAGCCTTTCGAAGATCCATAGCAGGAAGTCCCATAGAAGATATTACACATTGAAGGCCTTCCGTATAGAGAGACCATGAAAGGTCTTCTATATAGAAGGTCCAAGGAGGAACGTCTCTATATAGAAGGACTCTCTTATTTGTATGAAAACTATTCTATATATACTGGGCCTGCAGAAAGTCTTCTTGATAACTAATTCCCCCACACCCTCTCCCTTTACTCACCATTTATAACAAGCGGTGTGCCACCATGCACCGCGATAACGTACCGCACAATTTGCATTTGACAGCAAATCATTGTCCAGATCCCTGGTGGTGAATTTCTGACCCACATTATAGGAGAAATCATCACCGGCGGTGCCACTGTATTGTCCCAAACTGTGAAGTTTGTAGTATTCTCGTTCACTGCCCACCACAAAATTGTTATACTTCGCATACCGACGTTCATTGTCCCAGGCTTCAAGAACGATCAGCAATTCGCATGGACCACTATTCGTCAACTTGTGTATGTTGTCGAGACCAAGGAAAAACTCTCCAGATGCATTGCCAAAACCCTGCTTGAATTCTTGCCAGGTGCGATCAAAATCCACGGAACCATCCTGGCGGCGTAGTATAACAGTTTCCGAAACTTTTGTTAAATTTTCAAGTTGTTGAAGTTTTTGCAGCAGCTTGTTTTGTTGTTGCATTTGTTGTTGTTCTGCTTTGAGCTGTCGCTCTTCGAGAATTTGGAGTTTTTCAAGGAACTCCAAATGGCTGGTCATCAAGTGTCGGAAATTCTCGTTCAGTTCATTGAGGCTTTGTGTTAGGTTGGCACTAGCGGTGGGGCACTGTTGTATTTGTATGTGTGTCAATGGCAAGGATGTTATCTGTTGGTTAGGGAATTTTAGAAATTATGGGAATTTTGAATTATAAATTTGAAATATTTACTCACTTCTTCCATTGAAATGTGATTGAAAATGTTGAAAATAAGCCAAAGAATCGGACACACCTTAATATTGTCTTTTAAATGCCACATTTCGTTTCTCTGGCTTGTGTGAATCGAACGCCTTGAAATGGAATAGGTCTTTAATCACATTCACGCGAATACTTTGTATTTATAGAAATTTATGATGGAGGGTGGTATGAAAATTGCGGTTTATACGTAAATATTAAATGTTAAATAAAATAATATAGGCAGGGCTTTTGGTGTTGAAAATGGACTATGTAGGCACACATTTATTTGTAGCCCCCATATACCTGTACCTCCTGTATTTTGATGATTTTAGCGACATTGTTCACCGGAATTGTTTATTTGTTGTTGTCGTATTTGAAGTTCGTAATGGGCACTACAGCCCAAGACAGAAATTTGTATATGCAGGTCCGTGTCTTCATATAGCCCCAAATATATATGGGTACCTCCCTATAACTTTGAGGTGATCGACACCTGCTGGACAACGAATATTTTCTCATCGGAGAAAACAAAATTCGACAGTTCACCACTTTCGACCAAGCGAAGATACTCTTTAGCTCTTCTGAGTCTATTTTCTTCCTGTTGCGGTGTAAGTTCTTGCACTTTTTGGAATTTCAATGGCTTTACCCCGAGCTCATTTTTCAATATTTGCCGAATGAAATATTGCGATGTGTTCAACTAACGTGCCATTTTTCGGCCACTGCGACGCGAGTTTCGATTAAGTCGCTTCTGCTGATGTTGCTGTTTTCTTTCGTCCACGGTAACGAGCGATGGTACGAGACACAAAAGAATTATTCACATTTAAATGCTGGAGTGCTCTAACGACAGCCACTTGTGGTTTTCCAGCCAAATATTGAATTCCATCAGGAATAACTTTTTTTTTCTGGAAAATTCTCATCGAAATTTAACAGCTGTCGGACGAGTGGCTTAGAAATGACAGCAGTCGAAGCAGGTTGCAGTTTTTTTCATATAGATGTCACTCTTTGTGTCTGTGGGTGAGAGAAGGGTCTGATTTTGATTCTGCGTACTATAATTGTACTAAATTTGGTAAAGGGGAAAAAATAAATAAGTTGAAATCTTAAAGTTTGATATTGAGGTCACGGTTGGTATCTGAGGTTGAGACATGGAGAGTGTTTTAAAATGCGGACTATAATTGTACAAAAAGTACTAATTGGTACTGTCTTTGGTATTGGGTGAAGGAATGAAGTTGAAATCCTAAAATTTGATGTAGATTTCGCTGTTGGTGTTTGTAGTTAAGGCATAAAGGTGGTTTGGAAATGAGTCCCATATTTGTAAAAAAAGTACTAAATGTGTTATTGGGTGAAGGGATAAGGCTGGAATCCTCAAATTTAATATTGAGGTCGCCATTGGTATCTGGAATTGGAATATGGAGGTGGTTTAGGAATTGGGTACTTTAATTGTACGAAAAGTACTAAATGGTTCTAAATTTGGTATTGGATGAAGGAATAGACTGAAGAGATGGAGCTGGTTTTGAATGATGCATGAAGTTTTGATAAAAAAAAATCTGTCAAACTGAACAAATTGTACATTTTTAGTAATAAAAGGGCCTAAAATCTAGGGGAGGACATTTCGTTGACGAATTAGCGGGTATCTGCTAGTAGTCTTACATTTGCAAAAAAGACTTACAGAAAACCTTCTATTTAGAAAAAAAATCTTTTGAATATCTCCCTTTACGAATTCTCTCGTAAAGCCTGTCTATTAAAAAAATGCTTATCTATAAAAATAATTCAATTCGAACACCAAAATTTTCATACAACCCCCTTATGTAGGGGGATTTTTTGTTTTATTCTTATTTTTTTAATAAATTTCTTGATAAGAATATTTGTTTTGGTATATAAATGAATAACAATAAAATACAGTTTTATTTAAAGAGAGTCATTTGGAATCTTGACATCGCATCTGTACTGGGGAGAATAAGACAAGAAATTAAAAAAAATGAAATCAATTATTTTTATGCTGCTGATTATTGTGAGTCCCCTAAAATTTAAACACAGGCAGTTTAAGGTAAATGAATTTTAAAAATTTAAAATGAATTATGTTTCAAATTGTTGTTTTTTTTTTTTCAATTTTCTGAAGATTGCTAGTGCCACTGAAATCTGTATAAATGAATTGTCTTCGAAAATCACTCGATTGGAGAATCAAATTGAACAGCTGGACAAGACAATACAAAGGCGTCTCCAAACTTTGAATGAAAACCCCTCTGATCGTGGTAATATTGTGATACAACGGCGCAAGGATGGTTCGGTGAATTTCTTTCGTCCTTGGTCCGACTATAAAGAGGGCTTTGGCGATAGATCAGGAGAGTTCTTCATTGGCCTGGATCGGTTAAATAATCTCACAAATTCTCGTCCCTATGAACTGCTAATCGTTATGGAAGACTGGGAGGGTGATCGACGCTATGCCAAATACGATGCCTTCATTGTGGGCAGTGAAAAGGAGAAGTATATCCTCAAAAGTTTAGGTAGCTACAGTGGTTCCGCCGGTGATGCATTGTCAATACATTTAGGTCAAAAGTTTTCTACCTATGATCAGGACAATGATTCGTATGGGAAGGCTTGTGCCAATGAATACACCGGTGCCTGGTGGTATAATGCATGTCATCATAGGTAGGTTGCGCGGGCGATTCCGATATTTATTTTGGATGCTAAATTGAAGTATGTGTTTGTTTTTTTTTTTTGTAGTAACTTAAATGGAAGATATTTGAGGGCCACCACTAAGGAGTATGCCCAAGGTATTAACTGGTATGAGTTTAGAGGCCACAATTATTCCTTGAAATTTGTCGAAATGATAATAAGACCCCGTTAAATGAAATAAAGTTAAGAAAAAACAATTTTATACTTAATACATATCTATATGGGATCAATAGGGATATAATAAATGTGGAGATTTTAAAGAATCTTTTTTTGGGAATTAACGGACACATTATCTTTAATATTTCTATCAGTGCAAAAATCTTAGATTTTTATGAATATTTAAAAGGACCGTGCCGAACTTTGAATACGCTCCACTATTTGGAAAGAATTTGAAAATTTTCAACAAAAATTAAATCCGTTAAAAATTCTGTGAAAATCTAAAACTACCGAATATAGCGGTTATTTTGGCGCCTATACGGAGACGTGGACCTGCACAGGCCACTTTTGTAATAAGCCAATACAATATTCAAATACGAAACTTGGAAAAAGAAAAAACTGCAACCAACTTCAGACTGCTGTCATTTCTAAGCCACTCGTCGGACAGCTGTTAAAATTATTCCAGTGACAGCTCATTATATTGTTAACAAGCGTATAAAAGCATTTTGGTGAGAATTTTCCAGAAAAAAAGTTATTCGTGATGGTGATGATGATGATTCAAGCGTGATAGTGTGATTTCTTTATATTTGGCTGGAGAACAACAAGTGGCTATCGTTACAGGAATCCAGCATTTAAATGTGAATAAACCTTTTGTGTCTCGTAGCCCGACGTCAAAGAAGTGGACGGAAGAAAACAGCAACATCAGCAGATATGGTTCGACAATTAAAGAAGCGACTTGATCGAAACCCGCGTCGCATTGGCTGAAAAATGGCTCGTGAGCTGAACATATCGCAATATTCCATTCGGAAAATATTGAAAAAATGAGCTCGGGGTAAAGCCACTGAAGTTCCAAAAAGTGCAAGAACTTACACTGCAACAGAAAAAAAAATAGACTCAAAAGAGGTAAGGTGAGACTTTCGCTTGTCCGAAAGTGGTGAACTGCCGAATTTGGTTTTCTTCGATGAGAAAGCATTCCTTGTCCAGCAATTTGTAAACAAACAAAATGATCGTGTTTACTTGCCAAAGAGGTCAGCTGAAAATGTGCACCTTCGGTTAGCCACCAGAACTCAAGCGCCGGCCATGGTGATGGTGTGGGCCGACAAAACAGCCGATGGTAACTCTCCGCTCATATTAATCGAAATGTTGCATCAGAATAAATGCCGAATATTATCGCGAAAATATTCTGGAGGGTGTACTAAAGCCTTTGGCACGCAAACATTTTGGCCGCAGACCTTGTACATTCCAACAGGACTCAGCACCCAAGAATGGTTACAAAATGAGGTTCCTCGCTTCATTTTCAGCGCACAATGGCCACCAAAATCTCTGGATAACAATCCGTTGAACTATTGTGTCTGGAGTATTTTGGAAAGCAAGGTTGGCACTAACAAATACCAAAATGTCGATCACCTCAAGCAAGCGCTTCGCCGGGAATGAGGCAAAATACCGCAGAGCAACATTCGTGCAGCATGTGACAGTTTCATTGGCCGTTTGAAGGCTATAATTCGTGGCAAAGATGATCAATTCGAACAAATCTAAACTTATTGTGAAATGTGATGCTATTTCCGACATTTTTTCCTTTCATTCAATAAAGTTAAAAAAATGTAAAAATTATGACGTTTGATTTTGTTGCAGTTTTTTTTTATCTCACCCGGCAATACGATTACCTGGACCTGCATAGACAATTTTCTGTCATAGTCTGTAGTTCCCGTTACGAACTCTAAAACCGAAATTTGTATTTGAATAATGTAATCTTTAGTTCTCTTCGTACAATTACAGTTTATATTTCCAAAACCACCTCCATATACTATAACCACTGAGGATTCCAGGCCAATCGAATACCACCTCCATATCTAAATTTCAGATGCAAACGGAGACCTCAATATCAAATTTTAGGTTTCCAGCTTTATCCCTTCACCCAATGAATACAAAACAAAATTTTATTGTCATTTAGTACTTTTAATGCAAATATAGAACGCATTTCCGAACCACCTCCAAATCTCAAACGTAGATACAATCAGTAATCTAAATATCTAATTTTAAAATTGAATGTCTATCCATTCACCCAATATCAAATATTGTATCATTCAGTACTTTTCGTAAAATTGTAGCAGGCATTTCCTACAAACATAGAACGCATTTCCAGACTACCGCCAAATCTTAATTCCAGATACCAACAGAGACTTCAATATCAAATTTGTGGATTCCAGCTCTATCCCATCACCCAATACCAAATTTAGTACCATTTAGTGCTTTTCGTACAATTATAGTACACATCTCCGTATGTCCACATACACATGTACAGCGACTCTATTTCGATTTCAAA